TGGGCGCGCGGGTCGTGTTCGACCTGACGAAGGGACTGCCCCGGGACCACACGGTCACCTGTGACAATTTCTTCACGTCCTACGAACTCGCGCAGCGGCTCCTCGCGGACAGGGGACTCGCCCTGGTCGGCACGGTGCGCAAGAACAAGCCCGAGCTGCCGCCCGCGCTGCTCGCGACCAAGACCCGACGGGTCCTGTCGTCGGCGTTCGCCTTCACGCCCATCGCCACGCTGGTGTCATACTTGGCCCGGCGAAACAGGAACGTGCTGCTCCTGAGCACGCTGCACGCGGACGCCCGGCTCAGCGACCGCGCGGACAGGAAGCCCGCGCTCATCCTCGACTACAACCGCAACAAGGGCGGCGTGGACAACCTGGACAAGGTCATCGGCACGTACAGCTGCCGACGGATGACCGCGCGTTGGCCCCTGGCCGTGTTCCACAACATCCTCGACGTGTCCTCGTACAACGCCTTCGTGATATGGCGCGAGGTCCACCCCGACTGGATGCCCGGCAAGCGCAACAAGAGGCGCGTGTTCCTGGAGCTCTTGGGCAAGGCGCTCGTGAGGCCACTCATCGAAAGGCGCGTCACCCTGCCACGCACGGAAGCGTCCGCGGCGGTCGTGAGGGCCGCGCGCGAGGAGGCCCTATGCGGCACGCCGCCCGATGACGGGCTCGATCCGGACGCCCTGGGGCCGAGAGCGCCCGCTCCGGAAGCGCCGGCGCCGGACAACCGGGCCAGCAAGAGGAAGAGGTGTCAGATGTGCCCGTCCAAGAAGGACCGCAAGACGCACACGGTGTGCGGCCGGTGTAACAAGTACATCTGCAAAGACTGCTCGCGAGCCTACTGTACCGCGTGCGCCAACTGGGGCTTCGTCCGAGGCGGGACGATTTGACAGAAGATGGGTGCATTGTTGTTGTTGTTGGCTGTGTGTGTGTGTGTGTGTGTGTGTCTGAAACGCTTATGTCGCCATTGCTTGAAATGTACCGTATGTCCCGAAACGGACACGGAATTAATAATGAAATAAATACTAATAACAATAATAATAAATCGATTACAGTGGAACGCATGCACGTTGTTGTATTTTGGGCTCCTCTTTTTTGCAAAACTCCCAGGGCTGTGTGAAATGGGATCGCGGGTCACTCGGACCCGCTCAATTCGGGGTGTGTACGCGACGCGAGGACAATGGCTGGGGTTAGATCCGGGGTTGTGAGTTCGAGCCTCGCCCGGTGCGGTGGTTTTTTACACCCTCGGCGATAAATACTAAAAAAGATAGTAATAACAGATGGACAACGGTGAAACACGCGCACGTTGTTGTATTTCGGCCTCCTCTTTTTTGCAAAACTCCCAGGGCTGTGTGAAATGGGATCGCGGGTCACTCGGACCCGCTCAATCCGGGGTGTGTACGCGACGCGAGGACAATGGCTGGGGTTAGATGCCGGGGTTGTGAGTTCGAGCCTCGCCCGGTGCGGTGGTTTTTACACCCTCGCCTATAAATACTAATAAAGGTAGTAAGAATAGATGGACAACGGTGAAACACGCGCATGTTGTTGTATTTCGGCCTCCTCTTTTTTGCAAAACTCCCAGGGCTGTGTGAAATGGGATCGCGGGTCACTCGGACCCGCTCAATTCGGGGTGTGTACGCGTCGCGAGGACAATGGCTGGGGTTAGATCCCGGGGTTGTGAGTTCGAGTCTCGCCCGGGCCGGTGGTTTTTTTTGCACTCGGCGATAAACACTAAAAAAGATAGTAATAACAGATGGACAACAGGGGAAACATGCCCACGTTGTTGGATTTCGGCATCCTCTTTTTTGCAAAACTCCCAGGGCTGTGAGAAATGGGATCGCGGGTCACTCGGACCCGCTCAATTCGGGGTGTGTACGCGACGCGAGGACAACGGCTGGGGTTAGATGCCGGGGTTGTGAGTTCGAGCCTTGCCCGGTGCGGTGGTTTTTACACCCTCGGCGATAAATACTAAAAAGATAGTAATAACAGATGGACAACGGTGAAACACGCGCACGTTGTTGTATTTCGGCCTCCTCTTTTTGCAAAACTCCCAGGGCTGTGTGAAATGGGATCGCGGGTCACTCGGACCCGCTCAATCCGGGGTGTGTACGCGACGCGAGGACAATGGCTGGGGTTAGATGCCGGGGTTGTGAGTTCGAGCCTCGCCCGTTGCTGTGGTTTTTCTCACACTCGGCGATAAATACTAAGAAAGATAGTAATAACAGATGGACAACGGTGAAACATGCCCACGTTGTTGTATTTCGGCCTCCTCCTTTTTGCAAAACTCTGAGGGCTGTGTGAAATGGGATCGCGGGTCAGTCGGACCCACTCGACCTGGGGGGTGTACGCGTCGCGAGGACAAGGGGGGGTTAGATGCCGAGGTGGCGAGTTCGAGCCTCGCCCGGGCAAGTGTCTTTTTTTAGCCCTCCCAGATAATTACTAATAACGATAAAAATAATAAATCGATTACAGGGAAACACGTGCACGTTGTTGTATTTCGGCCTCCTCCTTTTTGCAACACTCTGAGGGCTGTGAAAAGAGATCGAGGGTCATTCTGACCAGCTCGACTCGGGGTGTGTACGCGATGCGAGGACAGCACAAGGGTTAAAGTTGAGTTCGAATCTAGCAGTGCCTTCATGAGAATCACTTTTTCTTCTATTTTGTCTCATGGTCTTGAAGAAACATTTTTGCTTTCGAAACCCTAAAAGATTGTTAGCACGTATCGGCACTGTGGCATAGTTGGTTAAAGCGCCTGTCTAGTAAACAGGAGATCCTGAGTTCGTATCTTAGCAGCGCCTTCATGAGAATTGCTTTTTCTTGTATTTTGTCTCATGGTCTGGAAGATACATTTTTGCTTTCGAAACCCTAAAAGATTGCTAGCACGTATCGGCGCTGTGGCTTAGTTGGTTTAAGCGACTGTCTAGTAAACAGGAAATCCTAAATTCGAATCTCAGCAGTGCCTTTTTGAAAATGGCTTATTCTTGTATTTTGTCTCATGGTCTGGAAGATACATTTTTGCTTTCGAAACCCTAAAAGATTGTTAGCACGTATCGGCGCTGTGGCTTAGTTGGTCAAAGCGCCTGTCTAGTAAACAGGAGATCCTGAGTTCGAATCTCAGCAGAGCCTATATGAAAATCCCTTACTCCTGTATTTTGTCTCATGGTCTGGAAGATTTTTTTTTCTTTTTCGAAACCCTAAACGATTGTTAGCACGTATCGGCGCTGTGGCTTAGTTGGTTAAAGCGCCTGTCTTGTAAACAGGAGATCCTGAGTTCGAATCTCAGCAGTGCCTTTGTGAAAATGGCTTATTCTTGTATTTTGTCTCGTGGTCTGGAAGATCAATTTTTTCTTTCGAAACCCTAAAAGATTGTTATCACGTATCTGCGCTGTGGCTTAGTTGGTTAAAGTTACTGTCTAGTAAACAGGAGATCCTAAATTCGAATCTTTGCAGCGCCTTTATGAAAATCCCTTATTCCTGTATTTTGTCTCATGGTCTGGAAGATACATTTTTGCTTTCGAAACCCAAAAAGATTGTTAGCACGTATCGGCGCTGTGGCTAAGTTGGTTAAAGCGCCTGTCTAGTAAACAGGAGATCCTGAGTTCGTATCTCAGCAGTGCCTTTATGAAAATGGCTTATTCTTGTATTTTGTCTCATGGTCTGGAAAATAAATTTTTGCTTTCGAAACCCTAGAAGATTGTTAGCACGTATCGGCGCTGTGGTTAGTTGGTTAAAGCGACTGTCTAGTAAACAGGAAATCCTAAATTCGAATCTTAGCAGTGCCTTCATGAGAATCGCTTGTTCCTGTATTTTGTCTCATGGTCTGGAAGATACATTTTGCTTTCGAAACCCGAAACGATTTTTAGCACGTATCGGCGCTGTGGTTTAGTTGGTAAAAGCGCCTGTCTAGTAAACAGGAGATCCTGAGTTCAAATCACAGCAGCGCCTTTATGAAAATCCCTTATTCCTGTATTTTGTCTCATGGTCTGGAAGATATATTTTTGCTTTCGAAACCCTAAAAGATTGTTAGCACGTATCGGCGCTGTGGCTTAATTGGTTAAAGTTGAGTTCGAATCTAGCAGTGCCTTCATGAGAATCACTTTTTCTTCTATTTTGTCTCATGATCTTGAAGAAACATTTTTGCTTTCGAAACCCTAAAAGATTGTTAGCACGTATCGGCACTGTGGCATAGTTGGTTAAAGCGCCTGTCTAGTGAACAGGAGATCCTGAGTTCGTATCTTAGCAGCGCCTTCATGAGAATTGCTTTTTCTTGTATTTTGTCTCATGGTCTGGAAGATACATTTTTGCTTTCGAAACCCTAAAAGATTTGTTTGCACGTATCGGCGCTGTGGCTTAGTTGGTTAAAGCGACTGTCTAGTAAACAGGAAATCCTAAATTCGAATCTCAGCAGTGCCTTTTTGAAAATGGCTTATTCTTGTATTTTGTCTCATGGTCTGGAAGATACATTTTTGCTTTCGAGACCCTAAAAGATTGTTTGCACGTATCGGCGCTGTGGCTTAGTTGGTCAAAGCGCCTGTCTAGTAAACAGGAGATCCTGAGTTCGAATCTCAGCAGCGCCTATATGAAAATCCCTTATTCCTGTATTTTGTCTCATGGTCTGGAAGATTTTTTTTTTTTTTTGAAACCATAAACGATTGTTAGCACGTATCAGCGCTGTGGCTTAGTTGGTTAAAGCGCCTGTCTTGTAAACAGGAGATCATGAGTTCGAATCTCAGCAGTGCCTTTATGAAATAGGCTTATTCTTGTATATTGTCTCATGGTCTGGAAGATACATTTTTGCTTTCGAAACCCAACAAGCATATTAGCACGTATCGGCGCTGTGGCTTAGTTGGTCAAAGCGCCTGTCTAGTAAACAGGAGATCCTGAGGTCGAATCTCAGCAGTGCCTGACTAAAAAATTGGCTTGTTCATGAATTTTGTCTCATGGTCTGGAAGATACATTTTGGCTTTCGAAACCCTAACAGATTGTTAGCACGTATCGGCGCTGGTGCTTATTTGGTTATAGTGCCTGTCTAGTAAACAGGAGATCCTGAGTTCGTATCTTAGCAGCGCCTTCATGAGAATCGCTTTTTCTTGTATTTTGTCTCATGGTCTGGAAGATACATTTTTGCTTTCGAAACCCAAAAAGATTGTTAGCACGTATCGGCGCTGTGGTTTCGTTGGTAAAAGCGCCTGTCTAGTAAACAGGAGATCCTGAGTTCAAATCACAGCAGTGCCTTCATGAGAATCACTTTTTCTTCTATTTTGTCTCATGGTCTTGAAGAAACATTTTTGCTTTCGAAACCCTAAAAGATTGCTAGCACGTATCGGCGCTGTGGCTTAGTTGGTTTAAGCGACTGTCTAGTAAACAGGAAATCCTAAATTCGAATCTCAGCAGTGCCTTTTAGAAAATGGCTTATTCTTGTATTTTGTCTCATGGTCTGGAAGATACATTTTTGCTTTCGAGACCCTAAAAGATTGTTAGCACGTATCTGCGCTGTGGCTTAGTTGGTTAAAGTTACTGTGTAGTAAACAGGAGATCCTAAATTCGAATCTTTGCAGCGCCTTTATGAAAATCCCTTATTCCTGTATTTTGTCTCATGGTCTGGAAGATACATTTTTGCTTTCGAAACCCAAAAAGATTGTTAGCACGTATCGGCGCTGTGGCTAAGTTGGTTAAAGCGCCTGTCTAGTAAACAGGAGATCCTGAGTTCGTATCTCAGCAGTGCCTTTATGAAAATGGCTTATTCTTGTATTTTGTCTCATGGTCTGGAAAATACATTTTTGCTTTCGAAACCCTAGAAGATTGTTAGCACGTATCGGCGCTGTGGTTAGTTGGTTAAAGCGACTGTCTAGTAAACAGGAAATCCTAAATTCGAATCTTAGCAGTGCCGTCATGAGAATCGCTTGTTCCTGTATTTTGTCTCATGGTCTGGAAGATACATTTTGCTTTCGAAACCCGAAACGATTTTTAGCACGTATCGGCGCTGTGGTTTAGTTGGTAAAAGCGCCTGTCTAGTAAACAGGAGATCCTGAGTTCAAATCACAGCAGCGCCTTTATGAAAATCCCTTATTCCTGTATTTTGTCTCATGGTCTGGAAGATATATTTTTGCTTTCGAAACCCTAAAAGATTGTTAGCACGTATCGGCGCTGTGGCTTAATTGGTTAAAGTTGAGTTCGAGTCTAGCAGTGCCTTCATGAGAATCACTTTTTCTTCTATTTTGTCTCATGGTCTTGAAGAAACATTTTTGCTTTCGAAACCCTAAAAGATTGTTAGCACGTATCGGCACTGTGGCATAGTTGGTTAAAGCTCCTGTCTAGTAAACAGGAGATCCTGAGTTCGTATCTTAGCAGCGCCTTCATGAGAATTGCTTTTTCTTGTATTTTGTCTCATGGTCTGGAAGATACATTTTTGCTTTCGAAAACCTAAAAGATTTGTTTGCACGTATCGGCGCTGTGGCTCAGTTGGTTAAAGCGACTGTCTAGTAAACAGGAAATCCTAAATTCGAATCTCAGCAGTGCCTTTTAGAAAATGGCTTATTCTTGTATTTTGTCTCATGGTCTGGAAGATACATTTTTGCTTTCGAGACCCTAAAAGATTGTTTGCACGTATCGGCGCTGTGGCTTTGTTGGTCAATGCGCCTGTCTAGTAAACAGGAGATCCTGAGTTCGAATCTCAGCAGCGCCTATATGAAAATCCCTTATTCCTGGATTTTGTCTCATGGTCTGGAAGATTATTTATTTTTTCGAAACCCTAAACGATTGTTAGCACGTATCGGCGCTGTGGCTTAGTTGGTTAAAGCGCCTGTCTTGTAAACAGGAGATCATGAGTTCGAATCTCAGCAGTGCCTTTATGAAATAGGCTTATTCTTGTATATTGTCTCATGGTCTGGAAGATACATTTTTGCTTTCGAAACCCATGTTATGGAATTTTATGATCATTCAAGAAGTTTAGTTACATGTAAGTCTCATAGATGTTGTTTAGGCCAAAAGGCACAGAGAAAGGTTAAGAACGGAAAGCACGAGACTCTGAAAAACGGAATCTGGTTCCCCGTCGGAGGACAAGCCGTAATGTGTCTTTACATTGTTAGAGGGGCCCAATGCTAGAAATAGATGTCTTGATTACTTTACTTGTGATGGACTGTCAAAGCAACTGTATGGGTTTTACGTTCACCTTCATATGTGCCTCACCATAAAAGGATATGTACCAGGCCTCCCCTTTACTTGACTGGGGAGTGAACCTCGGGTTTTATGACAGCTCCATACATCACCCATATTATACTGTATAGTTTGTTGAGATTATCTGACGGCCTGATCTGTTCTCCATTGAGTATTGTTTAGGTTGGTGTGTCAATGAGTGTGCGTAACTTCATTCCTTTAAATACCCCTGCAGAAGTTCTTTTATTAGGTCAGTCTGATCCAGCACAGGTTTTTGTCCTGTTGTCTGATGAAGGCTTTCCTCAAACCTATTCTTCAAGCTTGCTATAGGGATTGATCTGATCAATGCAAAAGCTTAAACCTGTATTTGAGAAATGGTTTCTTACTTGCAATTAAACAAGTTAAAAGTGTCAACTGTAACATACTCTCGTGCGTCTTACTTTAAGTTCGAATTCAGCGATTAAAGTCTAAAATTTCCACGACACTTGGGGGCATCGTCCGAGATTCTTAACAAAGTAATCCGTATTTTTTCCAAAACAGGCTACATATCCTAAAGAGCGATATAATTTTTAAAATTTTTTGAAAAATAATAGTCCTGGACTGTCTTTGGAGATAAGTGATACTATACAGAATTTTGAAACTCAAGGACCTAAAAATGCTGAATTGGGACAATGTTGGACGACAGTTTGACAACGGTTTTGATAAATTAACAAAATAGGCTCGTTAATTTTGACTTAATTCGTAAGGTTATTGTAAGATTTTAAACTTGGCTTAAAAATGGAAAACAGTACTTCTAATCGGGTATTTGTTGATTTTGGTCTGGTAAAACGTGCACGTCAGGAATTATTAATTTCTGCAGCTCCAATCCTCCTCAACAAATGGGTGAGTGGAGAGCGCCAGACTGGAGCAATATTTACCTGTATGAAGTGTTAATACCTGTATACAGTAGGAATAAAATGCTGTTCAATATAGGTTATCTGGGTGCGGTGAGACAGCTCGGTAATTCAGGATATCTCACTTAAAAGAACTGACGAGTTCATTAACACATATAGGACACTTCATTATATGCTAAAATTAGATTTTGCGTCTTAAATATCGATAACAACATGGGTAATTACATGTGTATTGGTAAACCTTCGGTGGATACTGAACGTTACGTTGTTGGACCGGCTAAAATAATGACAGACAAATACGGAGACTGGACATGCGAACAATTAGACCTGTGGGAGTTATTGGGATTTCCTGCTGATGGCAGTTTTAGTCAGAGACAGATACTGTTGTTGAAAGACAAGTTGGAGGATTTTGAACAGGGTAAAATTAAGGTTTCACGGGGTAATCGGCAGAAAGTTGATTGGAAGGCATATAATAAGTGGAGAGAGCAGACTGATATACGGGCTAAGCGGTGTAGCACGGGGCTTGTTAATCGTGTTCTAGCTTGTCCCAACCAGGTTGATGCTGCCTGTCCTCCTGCTGACCGACCCCCACCCTATCGCGGCGTTACCACAACAGCCCCAGCGGTACCAACTATGCCAACAGCATCGGACCTGGTGGAAAACATTCGCGGAGGAGGACTCTACCCATCCGTATTCGGCCTCCACAGAGTTTCACACGCCGCTGAGAGGACCCAGAGTACCACTGCGGCCTGTCCCAGAGAACAACACAGCATTGATGCCGGGCAATTCCCTATGGTGGAGGTAGCCAACCCAGCTGGTGGAGGAGACACGGATAACCCAGCGACTATACTAGTCTACAGACCGTGGTCACCCGCCGACCTGAGAGACGTGGCTTCTACACTACCTGACCCAGAAACAGAAGGTGGAGAGGAATTTGTCCGTGTGTTTCTACAGATCGTGAATCAATATAGACCGACCTCTGTGGAGATTGAAACAATTTTGATGAAGGCCTTGCAACTAAAATGGGGGAGAGTGAAAAGAAACTGGCCTAGCGAGAGAAACATTATGTTCAATTGGGATGCGCACTCTGACTACCGGAGTGCTGTGGAACAGCTGAGCACTGGACTTATCGCTGCTTTTCCTAAGCGAATGAACTGGGAAAAGATCTATGATTGTAAACAGACACTGGGCGAGAAAGTTTCAGACTACAGGAATAGACTCGAAAAAGCTTTTGAGTTACACAGCGGAATGGGAAAGAGACCGGACGGTGATGAAGAGTCGGCCTGGGAGCAACAGTGTAAAATGAGGTTAGTTGCAGGCCTTCTACCAGACATTAGGAAGCACATTCAAAACCACTGTGTAGACCTGGATGAGGGTCGCATGGAAACCGTCTGGCCGTATTTTAAGCACGCTGAAAGAGTCTACGAGGACCAGCTGTACAAACAGACCGAAGAAAGACGGGAGCGTGAAACGCAAATTCAGATGGCCCAACTGGACTTCTACAGCAGAGGCTACTCAGGAGGGAGACGGAGACGGAGACGGAGAGCAAGCAGGAGAGGATAATACAGACACCAGGGTGATGATAACTCCAGCCAAAGTCCCAACTCTGATAGCTGTTTCAACTGTGGTGCATTTGGACACTGGGCTCGTGACTGCACTGTGCCGGACACTAGAGACTATTACCATGGGAACAGAGACAGTATGGGAGACGGTGATGGCACAACAGCAGACGACCAAATGGAGCGTCACAGGACCCATGGCTGCCACGGACAGGGGTACTGACGGTCAGAGGGGACGGGCAGGAAAACATCAACCCGGTGAGATCAAACCATTATGTGATTCCTGTAATTAGTTAATTATGTCAGTATTTACAGTAAAAGTAATTTTGTTCGGATGTTTAGTGAATACTTGTTTATTCTGAGTGTTGAGTTGATATGCAGACGTATGGTTGTGTGAGATTTTCGTTCCACTGGGGAGGAGTACCGGTGTCTTGGCACTATGCTTACGCTTAAAGTTAAGTGTT